AATACATCAGAACAGAACACTTCCTAACTCAGTTTATAAAGCCAGTATAACCCTAATACTAAATCAGACAATCGAAAAAATAGAAAAATACAATCCCTCTCATGAACATAAGACACAAAAATCCTCAACAAAATATTATTTGGCAAACTGAATCCAACAATGTATAAAACTAATTACATTCCGTGACCAATGGGACTTATTAAAGGTATACAAGGTTGGTCCAACATCAAAAATCCACAAATGTCATCTATTATAGCAACAAGCTAAGGAAGAAAAGTGATACAATCATATAATTAGCACAGAAAAGGCATCTGACAAAAATCCAACATCCATTCATGACAATTGTGAACGACTAATATATTCCCCATAAAACTAAGAACCCACAAGATGTCCATTCTCACCACTCTTATCCAAGGAAAAAGAAGAAGAAGAAGAAAGAAGAAGAAAGAAGAAGAAGAAGAAGAAGGAAGAAGGAAGAAGAAGAAGAAGGAAGAAGGAAGAAGGAAGAAGGAAGAAAAAGAAGAAGAAGAAGAAGAAGAAGAAGAAGAAGAAGAAGAAGAAGAAGAAGAAGAAGAAGAAGAAGAAGAAGAAGAAGAAGAAGAAGAAGAAGAAGAAAAAGAAGAGGAGGAGGAGGAAGGGGAAGAAGAAGAAGAAATAAAAGGCCTACAGATTAGAAAAATTAATTTCTATTTGCTGATGTCAAGACTGTTTACATAGAAAACCCCAAAGGATCTACCAAAAAAACTCCTAGACCTAGTGTGTGAGTCCAGCAAGGTTGCAGAACACAAAAATCAATCACATTTTCCACATACTAAAAATGAACATTCATGCTCGCTTTGGCAGCACATATACTAAAATTAGAACAATACAGAGATTAGCATGGCCCCTGCACAAGGATGACACCCAAATTTGTGAAGCACTCCATAGCAAAAATTTTTTAAATTATAAAAATAAAAAATAAAGGAACATTCGGAAAACAAAATTAAATTTTCCTCTTTTACAATATATGTGGTTTGGCAGAGAAAGACCTCTAGGTGTTTTCAGCAGCTTTTCTCAAAATAGTGCCAGAATGGAAACTACCCAATGTCCATCAGTTAATGAATAAACAATTTGTGGTACAACTATACAGTGGGATACTATTCAGCAAAAAAAAGGAAAAAACCACTAATACATGCAAAAAGGATGAGTCTCAAAAGCATTACTCGAGGTAAAATTCAGACACAAAAGGCTACATACTACATGATTCCATTTATACGGCATTCTGAAAAAGGTAAAACCACTGAGATGGGAAATTAGATCAGTAACTGCTGTGAGTTGGGGGAAGGAAGAGGTAACTGTAAAGGAGCACCAGGGAATTTTGTGAAATTAAATATCTTATCATCTTGATTTTGTTAGTAGCTATACAACGGTACACAATTGTTTAAAATCTCTTCAAACCATACTCTAAAAAAGATGAATTGGCCGGGCGTGGCGGCTTATGCCTGTAATCCCAGCACTCTGGGAGGCCCAGGCAGGTGGAGCACGTAAGCTCAGGAGTTCAACACCAGCCTGGCCAATATGGTGAAACCCTGTCTCTACTAAAAATACAAAAATTAGCTGGGTGTGGTGGCAGGAGCCTGTAATTCCAGCTACTCAGGAGGTTGAAGCAGGATAATCACTTGAACCCGGGAGGCGGAGGTTGCAGTGAGCTGAGATCATGCCACTGCACTACAGCCTGGGCGACAAGAGCAAAACTCCGTCTCAAAAAAAAAAAAAAGAAAAGATGAATTTTATTCCACATTAATTATATGCTTGGGATTATTTTTCCCTTCTCAGAGAGTCTGTTAGCCAAGTAGATGAACAAAGAATAGTAAGAAAGAATTAACAGTAAAGGAAAAATAATTTGTTTTAAGAATACTCCATTCTGCTATTATCTATAACTAATTTTACTATATGTACTATTTCTTAAAAGACTCTTTAAAACCAAGCATTTGTTTAAAAAACAAAGCCCCCATACTCTTCATCTATGTCCTACCAAAAGGAAGATAAAGTCATATTTTTAACATCTGAGTATGATGGAAGTCATGATTATCAAGGACTCTAGTTTTTTTCTTGCCATTGAGAATTGCCACCTTGTATGAAAAAGACAGACTTATTTGAATTAGGGGACAGAATCAGTGACAAGGTTATAAAGAAGAGAAGAAACATCAATTTCTGTTCTTTCTTCCCTCATTTATGGGTTGTCTTAACTGGCGACTAATTTCCTTTCCTACCTGAACCTATTTAAAACTCCAAAGAATAAATATAGGAAAGACATTATTATCCAACTCAAATAAATGCTTCTCTATCCTTAAGACGCTTGTGTGGTCTCAAAAGTCCAAGTCTTCCAACACTTCAGTGGTAGCTGCTTTCCTACACTGATGGAAATTCACAAAACCATCCTATTTTGCGAAACCCACTATTTAAATGCCAGATATTCTTATATTGATAGCCTATTTCCAGGAAGAGACTTTTTTTAACATAAGAGAAAACTGATATTACTGGAAGCAAAGAGAGAGAAGATCAAGACTAAGCCCAGAGGTCCTGGATTACATTTATGCCTCTGGAAGTTATTCACGCCTCATATATATGGAGTACTTAAAAACACTAAAGGAAAAGATGTATCAAAAGTCATTAGCTATAATGAGCTTACAGCATGACATAACTGTGGAATTGATATAACACATAAAGAGTTAACACCCCCAAAACTACCATGAAGATACTTGAATATAATTGCTTTCACATAAGCTCTCCAAAAGGGAAAAGAACTCCACTCTTTAATAAAAGACTTTCCAAAGGGATAAATACTGACAAAGAAAGAACATGGTATAATAATGTTTAAGCCAAAATCATTGTTCTGCAGTGACAAGGAGAAATGGGTCCAAACACTATTTACCCATAAACCTATAAAATATAAGCCATATAGAATACAAGAATAATCACCACAAGGGACAGAATAAAACAGCAACTGAAAGATGATGACTTAGCAATCACTTACTTTACAAGCTAAATTGAGGTTTCCCAAATTTTCCAGAGTTCCTCAACTGGGGGCGGTTCTGCCTCCATTCAGGGACATCTGGCAACATTTTGGATAATCAAAACTGGAGGAAGTGCTACTGGCACTTGTAGGAAGAGGCCAGAGCTGCTGTTAAATATCCTATAATGTACAGGGTAGCCCACCACAACAAAGAATTATCAAATTCAAAATGTCAATAGTGACCCTATTGAGAAATCCTGCTTTACAATAAAACTGAAAAGCCCCGCTAGTCACACAAAATCTCGAGATAATCTGTAATACATATAATGCAATACAACGTAAATAACTGCAGATAGAAATGTCAAGTGCATATATACACCCCACTGCTACTCTCCCACACTCTTTCCCCCCCATCCTGTCATTCTACTCTTCTATTTAATAATCGTTACTCCATTTACACTTCCTTTAAGCCACCTTCCCCTTCCAAAACCTCCAATTCTCCTGAGAAATAAAAAATGGAAAACATTGCCACTTTATCTATGCTGCGTGATGTCTAGAACTACTCAAGAAGAGTCAGAGGAGACTGATACATGATCATGAAGCTCAGTATTGTTTTGACTTAAAGAAAGAATGCTGTAACAAGACAACTGTGTCATAACTTCCCAGAACCACCTCAAAGGATTAGAGACGGGACCCAAAATACAACCTTGCATGTTTGTAAGCCATTATGAAAAATTTACTCATTCTTGGGATCTCATCAGCACAAGGTGAGTTCCAAAATTTCTCTCCTTGCTAATAAAGTCCTCTGATTCACATCAGCTGCATTTATTAAACACCTAACTAGCTTCCTTTCATTTGTCCTAAAGCTCTTTCAAAAACTCATTTTAATATTCCCCAATTCAGAGAGCAAGTCCATTTTTAACCAATTTGTATTTTTCATGTTTCATTTAAATCTGTCTTAGCCTGTATCTTTTCCTTCAACTGTATCCAAATGGCAGCATTTCAACATTAACATCCAGCATACCTTGAACTATTTTTTTTTACATTCTTCGCTCTGTAATTTCCAGTTTCATTAAATATTTTTGGAAGCACAATGAATAAAACTCCCAATAACAGAGGAAGTACAAAAAAACATCATTTGTACATAGATAAGCCCAGGTTTAGGATTTGATTTCAATACTTTTTTTTTTTTTTTTTTGCAACAGAGTTTCACTCTTGTTGCCCAGGCTGGAGTGTAATGGCGCAATCTCAGCTCATCGCAACCTCCACCTCCCAGGTTCAAGCAATTCTCCTGCCTCAGTCTCCCGAATAGCCAGGATTACAGGCATGCGCCACCACACCCAGCTAATTTTGTATTTTTAGTAGAGATGGGGTTTTTCCATGTTGGTCAGGCTGGTCTCGGACTCCCGGCCTCAGGTGATCTGCCAGCCTCAGCCTCCCGAAGTGCTGGGATTAGTGTAGTATCTGTTCTTATCAGTTCAATGCTCTTCTTAAAAATGTAAAACATCAAACTTATTTTTCACGTAAAAAGGAAATCAGTGTATTTTAAATACTCAACTAAGCCTAGTTAAGATGTACTTCTGACATAGTGGTCAACTAAATATGGCAATCAGTGTGAAGAATGCCACTTAAGGTAATCATGTATATAAAGATGTTATAAATATTTTGGTGACAGAAATAAAACTGAATAGCGTCAAGAGATGACTTTTCATAAGGGAGTTTTAAATATGTCTGAAAATAGCCCATAACCAAATATATTCTTATTGTACCATATAAAAATCTATTGCTAAAAATATATGAAGCTGTCCAGTCATCCATGCATCCAAACAGAAGGCAGAAATATTTTCAATAACGTACTCGAATAAGTCTAAACTTCATGTATTGTATGAGCTAGACTAATGACGTCTATCCTCGTAGAACTTTTTTACAATTGTTTCAGGGCACACTATACCTTTTTAAAGCTAGTATATACTTAATGCTTAATAATGCAGAAAAATTCACTCACCATTTCAGTGGTGTGCCTTCATATTCAAACCATATCTCACTAATGTCTTCTTGTCTCATAACCTTCTGAAAGTGCTTTTTCACTTTGTCAGTTACCAACGTCAAATAACTTACTCTTGGCAAAAGCAACTGAAATGAAAATTTGTAAAATCGTATTTATTTACTAGTTATTATTTTTTAAAAATACTAAGGTTTTTGAATTTTAAGGAAAAACAGCCGTGTTCTTTGCATTATTTTGAACATCCCACACAAAGTCAACTGCTTTTTATAGAAGATCAAAGCTTAAAGGTTAAGATGTTTTAATATTTCTTACGGGGCCATTACTTTAAGCACAGCTTACCACATAAATGCCCAGAATCATCAACACAAATCTATCTACAACTTTCTATAACACTAAATAAAAATGTAATTAGATGTCATACTATTTAAGATACTTATTGGTTCTATCAAATTTAACTTAAAAATTAAAATGATTCATCTGAGTCAATTAAACTGTTCTAAGAAGATAATCAACTCGAGTCTCAAAGTATACCTTGACTTATCAATCAAATCTTCTCAACCAGTCCATCATGTTTTGAAGGATGAGAGAGAATGCTGGGCTAGGTAAAGCCTTAACAAAAACAGTATGAAGAACCTGGTCAGTGTTTTTTTCCCCACAAAAGGTACCCAAAAATAAAACAGGAAGAGTGTTTTGGAAAATCAATTATGATTTATATAAAGAACTGACAATTAGATAAAAGAAGGAGGTTGGCAAAAATTTATGGTTTTCCTCCTTTGCAGTAGACACTCTAGTCATTTCTTGCTTTCCTAAGTGTCTGACTACTTTTGCTGATAAAACTGCTTTGTTATTCTTTTGGCTGCTTTTATAACTGCATGATCTTTCATGCTCTTTATTCAAGGTGATATCTGTTGACCAATAAATCAAGTGGAACTACTAAGCTGGCAAATATATACAAAAAGAGAAAATCTGGTTGAAGGAATTTCTATTTAATCATGGAAGTCCAAGATAACAGGTCCCAACTAGGTAGGAGAACATGACATTGATCCTAGGGGCTACAGAGTACAGGGGTATGGGAGGGAGACAGTTGGCATGCTCCAGCACGGAATACAAGGTACTAAATACTATGAAAAAGCTGTTGAATAGTATTATGCATTCAATAGACTATGAGTTGTTCTTTTATAAAGAGAGAACTGTGATTAGTGAAGAAAGAAAAAGGAATTCTTACTATTTAATGTAAGAAAAAGCAGTTTTTTTCCCCCAGAGGAAGTATTATCGCCCCTGTTTTACTTTTAAATAACTTGCCAATATCATGCTATTCTTAAATAAATGACAGAGAAAACATTCATTGTATTCTTTCAGAAATGACAAATACAGATGTGACATTAAAGTCTCTTAAAAAAAGCATAACAGCATGGCAAATTAGCTGTTTTCAAAAAATATGTAAGTATAATCTATTAGTCTAATAAGGTCTCTATTAGTAAATCCTGAACTTTAATTTAAAAGTGATTATTGGGCATTACATAGTAATCTATTCTGTAGAAAATAATATTAACTTATGGAGACAGTAGGAGGGAAGAAACACCACAGCTAATGGGTATGGATATATCAGCTCCCGATTTTGGAGAGTGTTGTACTACATGCCTTGGCTTCACTCAAAGTTGCTAAAGAACTCACAATGATTTTTATGAAATAAAATCTTCTTTACAATAAGGAAAACAGAACATTAGATTATAACCTCCATTAAGACAGGAATTTTTGTCTGTTTTGTTCAATGCTACATTTCCACTGCCCAAAATAGTGCCTGCTTTAAAGGAGGCACACAATAAATATTTGCTGAATGAGTCAGAGATGCCAAAGGTTAAGTGAGGCAGAGTCAACAACTGTAATTTTAAAAGAATACTCATTTTTAAGGCAGAATCCACATTGAAATGTAGCTGCATTTTTCTGTTCTGTTTGGCCTGTGGGAGTAATCTTTAACTAATATATCCATATTAACACTAAGAAATCACTCTAAGATTTAAGAATGACTATTCTATAGTACATATAGATACAATTTACTTAGGAAATATTTAAACAAATAAAAATGAAAACAACATGAAACGACATCATCTTCTTGCCTTTTACCTGCAGACTATATATACTACTCATTGTTTTTCTTAGGTGTATTTCATTGGTTTAAGTTCTTTGTTTTCAATGTGGTAAAATATACCTAGTATAAAATTTACCATTTAAACCATTTTTAAGTGTACAGTTTAGTAATACTAAGTACACTCAATATCCATCTCCAAAACTTTTTCATCATCCTAAATGGAAACTCTACTTATTAAACAGTAACTCCCCATTCCCTGCTTCCCCGGCTCCCGGTAACCACCATTTTACTTTCTATCTCTATGAATTTGACTATTCTAGGTACCTTATTTAAGTGGAACCATATAATATTTGTCCTTTTGTGTCTGGTTTATTTCACTTAACAAATGTTTTCAATGTTCTCTTAGTTCTTTTACTTTGAATAAGATTAACTCCATTTGGAAATACTGTCAGCTACAATGGAAACTGTCATTCTCTTATTCCTCATTTAGCCCTAGTATAAAGTATTCCATGACTCTGATACAAGTGATTCATTTTTATCTACACAGCTGAAAAGAATATATATTTTATGCAATTATATGGAATACTTATGTTTCCAAAAAAGTTGCCCATAATTTTATTTCTTTATGCCAAGTCCTATTCTGTCCAACAATTTTCAATTTTAAAATTAGAGACCTTTCTAGGACAAAAATAGAAGTAAAACATACTAGAATTCTGTTCCACTCCAATGTGTAAAGCATCATACTAGGCAATGAGGATACAGCATTGAGAGAGACAGAGGAGTCCCTCCCCTTATACAGCAGACAGGTTAGACAGCAAAAAAGATACAAAATACAAAATTACAAATGTGATTAATGCAAGGAGGAAGTAAAGAATGTTACAAGAGCAAGTAGCAAAGGAATTTAACCTGATCTAGAGTTTCAGGGGATACCCTGACACGAAGTATATCTTAAGGCAAAGAGTCAAAAGACAAATAGGAGTGAAATGAACATGGGTGGTGTGGAAGTCTGGGTGTGTGTAGGTGTGGGAGATACCTCTGCCTTTTCCAAACAGGGGACACTGCAAGACAAAAGTCATAGAATGAATACAGAGAAACAAAGATGGGCACATTTGAGTGAAGTCTAAGAAGCTGAATATGATAGGAAGGTAGAGAGTTAAGCCAGAATAGTGCTGAAGAAGCCAGGGGCCAGATTATAGAGAACCTTGTAAACTAAATTAAAGATCCTAAAAATGAAGAAAAGCCACAAAGGTTTTAAGCAAGCAAATGACAAGATCAGATATGTGTTTCGAAAAGATCACTCCAATTGCAGACTAGAAAACGGAAAGAAGGGAAAACTAAAAGCAGGAAACTGGTTACTACCGTGCAATTTGATCTTTTTTTTTTTGAGATGGAGTTTCACTCTTCTCACCCAGGCTGGAGTACAAAGGCAAGATCTCAGCTCACTGCAACATCCACCTCCCAGGTTCAAGTGATTCTCCTGCCTCAGTCTCCCGAATAGCTGGGATTACAGGTACCCACCACCACGCCTGGCTAATTTTTTGTATTTTTAGTAGAGACGGTATTTCACCATGTTGGCCAGGCTGGTCTCAAACTCCTGACCTCAGGTGATCCACCCACCTTGGACTCCCAAAGTGCTGGGATTACAGGCGTGAGCCACTGCACCTGGCCTGATCAGTTTTTAAACAGTAGTCTGGTCTAGGCTGTAGCAGTGCGGGATGAAAGGGATCAGATAAGTCTGAGAGACACTGAGGTCTAAAATCAGCTGGAGTAAGGTACCAACTGAATATCTGGGATAAGAGAGAAGGAAGCACCAAACGATGAGTCTCAGATTTCGAGTAAGAGTAATTCTTCTTGCTGAAATAGGAAGGGAATAAAATAACGCAGATGACCATATTTTCTTGGGGGGAAAGCTGATGAGTCCAGTTTCAAACATACATAGTTTGAGTTCCTGTAAGACATCTAAGTGAGGATCTCCAGCAGACAAATATATAGGTTTGGAGCTCAGGAGAAAAATATTGGGAACTGTCAAGATATAAATGCTTGACAAAGACATAAAAATAGATAAGAACTCCAGGGGGCAAAAAGTGAAGTGAAAAAAAAAAAGAAAGCAGAGCCCTAAGAAATACCAATATTAAGGAATAAACAAAGGAGAAAGATGTGGCAAAAAAGGCCACACACATACACACACACATAAAAACCATAGAGGCAAAAGCAAAACCAAGGATACTGAGCACTGCAAGGCTAAACAGGACAGTGCCACAAGATGGGAGAAACAACCAACAACATCAAACACTGCTGAGATAACGCAAATGAAAATTACAAAACAGACTCTGAGCTTGGCTAAAAAGATACCATTAGTGACTTTGGCAAGAACAGTTTTCTTGGAATAGTATGAAAATGTGATTACAGAAAACTCACTGGTAGGAGGTGGAAGGCAGACAATGACTATAAACAATCTTGTTAAGAAGTCTAGCCATGGAGGAAAAGCCAAAGTTGAGAGATGGGGTCAACAGAGGCTTGTTGTTTCAGGATAGGAAGGATTTATGACAACATTAAAAACGGTGAAGGAGCCAGCAGATAAGAAGTTGAAAGTAAAATAAATAGAGAAAGCAGAGGTGGAGATGGGAGAAGATCAGATACCACCAGCCTCCTGAGAAGGCAGAAGATAGATGGAGGGCTGGGCCTTGCCCAGAAGGAAGAATACTTCTTCCTTTATAACAGGAGGGAAAGAGAAGTAAATGTGTGTGACTGCAGATAGATTTTGCAGATTTGGTGGCAGAAAGTTAAGGGAGGTCCTATCACACCTATTACATCATTTCTATTTTCTTCATGAAGGAGGGAGTGAGGTCACCTGTTAAGAGTGAAGGAAGAGGTCAGGGCTCAGAGACATAGTCATAGTGGAAAAGGGTAGACACCTGACTAAGGATACATAAAAGGATCACTGCCTAATGTTAAGGGTCCATGGCATTGATGACCATGGGTCTAACCATGATTTCTTCTAGACACAAGTCACAAAATAGCAATGCAAATGAGTATATGTGTTTTTATACTGGATAATCTAAATAAAAAGCAACAGTTTAAATGAACATAACCGGAAGAATACAAACTGAAAAGTTATCCAGTTTCTACAAATTTCCTTCCCAATATTCTCTGAAAAATAAAACATACTACTCAGTGATAATATGTACAGGATACAGGTGGAAAAATTATGCACAGAGGCAACAAATCAAAATGCAGAAAAGACAGGAATATATGTAATATTAATATTAAAAATATGTTCAAGCTTAATTGACAGCCAGGGACATATCTGAACTACAGCTATATTGGCACTAAAATCCTCATCTGTAATTCTAAGACTAGTCATTGCTAATGTTTTGTTTATTGTCTTCCTTGTATGTATTAACTTACACTTATGCACGTACGTATTTAAACAGCCAAATTTGGATTGTGCCATATGGTTTTAAATTCTAGTTTTTTGTTTTATATTTATTATAAGCCTGTCACCCAACAGTCTTCAAAAACACAAATCATGACTGCATAAGAGATTTCTCTAGGTGAAGAATTAGGAAGAATTCAAGAAAAAAGCAATTACCTACAAGACAAGACAATCCTTTCTCCTACAGTTACCCTCAACACTCTTGCCATTTTCAATTTGATTAGAAACACTAGAAAACAACTTACAATCTAGTGCTCACAACAGTCTTTTCACATTTAAACAGGTCTATAAAGAAAAAATACTGTATTCTTTACATGAAATTTATTTAACTTTAGGAAGTATGTCAAACACTAGAGTTTGATTTAAAAGTAAACAGGCCTAGTGGAGTAGCTTATGCCTGTAACCCAGCATTTTGGGAGGCCAACGTGGGCAGATCACTTAAGGTCAGGAGTTTGAGACCAGCCTGGCCAACATGGCAAAATCCTGTCTCTACTAAAAATACAAAAATTAACCGGACATGATGGCGCACGCCTGTAATCCCAGCTACTTGGGAAGCTGAGGCACGAGAATCATTTGAACCCAGGAGGGGGAGGTTGCAGTAAGCCAAGATGGCGCTACTGCCCCCTCCAGCCTGGGCAACAGGGCGAGACTCTGTCTCAAAAAAAATAAATAAAAATAAACAGACTTAAATTATTTTTCAGTTGTTGTCAATTTGGCCAAATACACTCTTTGGTTTAGATACTATTACAAAGCCAATGAAAGTTAAAGTTGTAATTAAAACACCAAAAACTCGTTTGGGAAAAAAAAATGGTATCCTAACCTATGTTACAGAATAAGAACAGAAAAAATATCTCTAACAAATGAAATTCTTCTAAAAATAAAACTATGACCATACTTGGTTTTTAACTGCGGTGTTTTTCTAGACAGAAAACGGTTGATATTTCCAAAGATTATTCACATGTATATAAGCTTGAGTACCAGTAACAAGATTCCCGAACTTCTCTAAAACTATCATTTCTAGTAAGAAAACCCAAAAAGATGATTTCAAACAAAATCCCAACAGGAGCCTGGGGAAACATTCATGCACTAAGCAGTACCACTTGAAGAGCCAGTGCCAGATGCTGAGGATGCACAGAGGAAAACAAAAACAAAAACAAAACAACAGTCCTATACCCAAAAAGTGAGCGAATGGGCTCCTTAGTAAGTAGCTTCCTCCAGTAATCTGACTTCCCGTAGCGAAGGCAGGCTAAGGAACAGCGCTGCCTCTCAGAGAGATGAGTGGGAAAGCAAGGGGCAGACTTTACTAAAGTGAAACAGAAGCAGCATTTCCTCATCACAAATACAATTCTACTTTTCCACATCATCTCCAGGTAAACACTAGAATGCATACCTGAGACACAAAAAGAAAAAACAGTAACAACAATTGAGAATATCTTTGCCTATTATGGGCTATTCAGTAAACCAGGCAGGATGTCATCTCTGACAGAGGCATAAACTGGGATTATACATGCACTTAGAAAAGGGAAACAAAGCACACCAAAATCAGAAGACATTTGAAACGTGTTTGTAAAATACGTAATCCATTAACTCACACCTGCAAGTCAAGGTGCAGCAATTTATAATATATATTACATATATATTACATATTATCTCACATATAACATACAATAGCTCAGTGAACATATCGTGTGTACGTGTGCATGTTTATATGTTCATTAAGCTATTAAAACACTTTGTTAAACAGTTGCTTGGAATCTCTTAACTACAAAAGAATACAATCTGAACCTAGTATTTTCAAAATCTCTTCCTGTTAAAAAAGCACATATCTTATTATTGCATTATCATACATTTATTATATATGAATATATGCATAAGAAAAAGAAAGTCAAGAAGGCACCATAGATGATTGATTCCATTAACATACCCACATACATGTAAGGAAAACAAAGCATCATGACAACATGTTGACAGTGGTTTTGTCCTCTGAGTGGTAGCATTAGAGGTGAATATTTCCTTCTTTATGCTTATCTATGTTAATTTTTTTTCCAAAATAAGCATGAATTAGCTATATATAAAATGTTACATAATAATGGCCTCCAAGTTCTTAGAGCTTTTTTTTTTACAAAAATGGACAAGGTTAAATATCCCATTTGCCACAATCAATGTACTTACATAGTATGGTTCTGCTTCCCTTTCAGTTATCTCATCCTGATATAGCGTGAAGCAAGTTGGAATACGTCCAAACCACACATCTCGAAGCACATCTTTGTCATCTGTCATTCTTCCAGTAGTTAAAGCAGTACATACAGGCTAAATTCTTTTTTCAACCAAAGCCAAACTGAAAATAAAATAAAGAGCATTAGTCAGATCCTTGCAAGGATGAATGAACCTGCTAGAAAACAAAAGATTATTTTAAAAAATCAATGCCATAAAGATTATCCACTTCAAAAAAAAAAATGTGATCGCCAATCTTTAGTATAAATCCAAAAAAAAAGTACAACAAATTCTAAATGTAAAATTATTATTTAAAGGAATCAGAAAAGTAACTAATTCAAAATTACATATACCAGTAATATTCATTGTACATTTGAGTAATGAACCACAGTCAAAAATGAAACTATATTTGCCTCAGTCTTCCAAGCCCAGAAGAGTCTACTGCTTATCTAAAGAGAAGCTTCACCTATACCCTATGAATCCTGACAGTCCAACTCCAAAGGATCGTTCTCGCAGTTACCCCTGCAGATAGTTCTTCCTCTCTTCCTGCAAAACTACTCTCTCATCTTAGAAAATATCTCTTTCACATTGGGGAAAAAATCTTTCTATAAACCCATTCCCCATTCTAAATTTCATCCTCTCCACAATGTAATTTCATCCTCTCCACAATGTAATCCCACCAATACTTCCATTTTAATTACCGTACTTCTTTTTGTAAAACTTCTACCAAAAGTGGCCCCCTAAACACCTTTCTCTGTATCCTACTATTCCCCTACCTAATATGCTCCTCTCTCACCTATTCAAATCCCTACTCTGCAAACCAAGCTCCCAGTCCTCTGTCCCCAATGAAACAGTAAATGCTTCTGCTTGGATCTCTCAGAATATTCTCTATACCACAAATATAGCACTAGGTCTGCAAAACAGTATTCTAGGTATGGCATAAGGACATGGCTTTTGACCTCCATAATATCCAAGTGCCTTCCAATGCTAATATTCTACAATTGAATAACACAATACATGACATGAGTAAATGCTGAAATAAATACTGTTGATAATATACACTTAGAATAACTCAACAGGTGGCACCTGGATACTAAGATTCAATATACTTATCCAAATAATATTTCTCATCTTTGATAGGCAGCTAATTCATAATCTATCATAATGTATCTTATGAAAACATTCAAAATAACCTTACGAGTTTAGCCAAATATGAATTATTAACACTGAATTATTCAAGGAGTTTGTTTCCCTTTTTTTCACTTCCACTGACCAATGCCGAGTACACTAAGACGGTCATAAATTAATTAGTCAAAGAAAGAAAAAGTTGGAGGTCAACTGGATGCAATGTCATCTACAGGTAAGTAAACTGCAAGAGGTGGAAAAAGTATGTCCAACATAAAAGTACTAGGCAACAAGAATTCTGGTTCTTAAACTGAGTCCAGTCCAGTTAGTGTTTTAACTTTTATTAAAACATATCCATAAAAACAACTATTTTAAGCAAATGATATACATACATGCATGTAAACTTCATATCATTCCACAATGGTAGGCTACAAATTCAAACAACTATTGAGTTTCTGCATTTGGCAAAAAATTTCCAATGACACAAAATTAACTCACTGAAAACAGGAAAGACCGCACTACTTCCTGATTACATTAATAGTTTGCTCTTTTTAAAGGAAATTTACTAGTGGCAAAAAATAATGAAATCTAGGTTATCACAAATAAGTAAAACTAAAATTGAATCTGATATAAAGGTGGTATGCAGTTGTTTCTGCAGCCATGATACATCAAGTTAGTCAGCAGCTGCAACTGAGATTCACCTTTTGATGATGAAGAGAAAAATAATTTGAGACAAAGAGTTCCTTTAATAAAAATCTTTAATAAAAGTTAATTACAAGCTTAAAGCTGAAGTCACTGTATTGTCACTATTGATATTATTTTTCTTCTCAGAAGCAGCAGATAGAAAATATAATCCAAGACAATTGCTCTTCCCTCCTCTCCAAGCACTGTTCTCTCAAGGAGGGATAATAATCTGATTGGTCAGATTCCAGGACACCACTTGAGCCATGTTTATTAATAGGCAGGGATCATCATAAACCAAAATATCATGCATGTGAGTGTGGCTCCCTTCTCTCCCCTCTAGGCTGCCAGACAAGAACCCGGACCACCCTGCTCTTTCTTTCCATGACATTCTCTTCTGTTTCTCCCTTCCACATTTCACGAACAGTAAAATGAATGACCAATGCTCTCTGTTTCTAAGTCCCTTCCCAAAAGAGATACAAATATAGACTTAGGGGAAGGCAGAACACCTCAAGACTCCAACTACAGGCTTGAGTTTTAAAGTCTTATGTTCCAGCAAAGTTTACCAAAGTTCTACAGTAGGATTTTAAGTACAAAGTATGAGTGAAAGATCAATTGGTACTTTATTTCCCATATACTATTATTGCTTACATGTATATTTTTTGCAAGACCTAAAGGGAAGAACTAACTCAGCCAAGGCAGCTAAAGGTATAACGCAGTACAGCTGATACAAATTTTGCAAAACAAACAAACTCTGCAAAACAGATTTATGAAAACTGCAAACGAGGCTGCTTACTGCCTCAAAATACACAGACCCAAATTTATAGGATCTTACAATGTTAATCTTTCAATATTAATATTTACCTATAATAAATTATATAAGAAAGCATGTCTCCAGTGAATACACTTAACTTTAAAAATACGTAAGAAAAAGTAGGGATACATGAATAAAACTAAAGGATGTAAGTTTTCAATAATCCTTTTTTAAAGAGGCAATAAAACACAATTTACTCTTGAGAGGCACTATAGAGTAGGAGTCAGAAATGTAAAATGTGGAGCCAGACTGTCTGGACCCAAAACCAGCTCCACCACTTACAGTGTGACCTCAAGTAAGTCATTTAACTTCTGTTTCTGTTTCCTCATCTGTAAAATGGGAAAACAGCACCTACCACATTAGATACAAGAATTAAATGAATTAATACATGTAAAGCACTTGAACAACATCCATCATATAATATGTACTATAAAGGTTATCTACCATTATAATTTACAGAACAAGAACATGTCTCAAAAAACGTTTAAAAGTCAACATTTAAAGACTTCAAAACCTAATAATAATCAAAAGCATTATATAAGTAGGAATTATAGGTATAAAAAAGCTAAAAATTTTGCAGTAATCACTGCTAATAATATGTAATTTAGAGTCAAATATTTAATCACTTGATATGCCTAGCTGTGTGGCAGGTGCTAGAAGAACAACAACAATGGACTTTTTAAAAACCTCAGTCATTAACAAAGTATAATCTCCAAATCTACTAAACATACCATGCACTTTCTGTCCTTTCTGTGCCTTTGCCCATGCTGGTGGTACCCTTACCCTAAAGCAGCCTTCTTCACCTTGTCTTCCAACTTAACCATCCCTTAGGACCCAGCTCAAAATAACCTTTCTTCTACACATGATTCAGGCAGAACTCGCCTTGTTTTCTCTCGGCACTTCTACTTTTCCTCTACCCTTGTAAGTTTCTATCAATAGTATTTATTTGTACGTCTCCTCCAGCAGACTGTAATAGATTCCCTTAGGGAGAAGGATCATATCTCATTCATCTCTTCACCTCTGATACTTGGAATGGTATCTGGAATTCAGTAGGTGCTCAAAAAATGCTTACTGAATTTGAATGTGTTGGAAAGACAGTGTATGATATAAAATTACAGAACCAAACAGAATCCCGAAAAATGAGGTAAGCAGGTGAGATTAGATAATAAAAATTAGATAACAGTAGATTATATACTACTTTAAATATCAAGTAACTCCAGAAATACTATACATTTTATATTACCTCACACTTGATACACATAAGCCTATATGCTCCCATTTTACAAGTGATAAATTTGAGAAGAGGATGTCAGATGATTTTTCTAAAATCTTGTGGCTAATAAACGGCAGAGCCAAAATTAGAAGCCACATCCTAACTCAGGTTTCTAATCTCATATTCTTTCTATCATACTATATGGACTGCCATCATCCCTCTCAACTCCAAAACATCCATATGTCCATGGTGTAATTAATGCCATCATCCCTCTCAACTCCAAAACATCCATATGTCCATGGTATAATTAAATGTTACTTTGTGAGAGCTTTCATGGGGCACAGGAAAGAGGGGAGTTGGAGATATTAATACATCCTATAGTGTTCAAAGAATTTTAAAAGATGTGGAACTTGAAGAATGGGTAGAATACGGACAGGCGAAAAGATGACAAATATTCTAACAGGCCAAAATAGCATCAATAAAGGCATTAAGTGGGCAGGCGCAATTTTTGTGCCAACTTTTAAGGAAATTTTGGGTTGAGAGTAGTATTAATAGATAATGAAAGAGCTGATACCAAAACATGTTTTAACATCACATGTGACCTTTAGGCAAGTCACTTTACTTCACTAAGCTTCAATTTCCTTACTTGTGAAATGGAATTAATATTACCCAAGTCACAAGGTTATTCTGGAAAAAAAAAAATCCATAAAGTGTTTGATACAATAATGGACACACGGTAAGTGCTAGGAAATGCAAGCAATTATTATTCCTCTAATGTCAAATCTGTAAATGTAAGTAAAATGAGACTAGACCATGAAACACACCAAACAGAAGACTAGGGGCGGATCTCAATTTCATCCACCAGTCCTATAGTGCCTACAGGTTTTAGAATGGTAAAATAAAAACAATTATGTGGTAGCAGTGCACAAAAGGAGAGCCTTGAGTCAGAGAGGCTAGCCAGGAAGTAATTTCAGCAACTAAGGGAAAAAGTAATGAGTGCCTGACCTATAGAGGTAGTCGTGGACTGGTGAAAAACAGATGAGTCTTTCCAAGGAAGAAAGAGAAGCTGGTGAAAAATGAGGGATAAAGAACAAGGGAAAGGAAGTTTAGATGCTGACAGCATGCAAAATACAATAAGATAGTTAAGGGGCTTTGAAATCAGACTGACATGGGTTTAAACCCTGATTTCCACCTATTAGTTACGTGTCTTGGACAACAAACCCATCCTCTTTGACTCTCATATTTGTGAAATGAAGATAATTATAATTTTCACAGGGCTGTTAGGTGTTTAGTATATTTGGTAACCACTCAATAAACAATGTATGTTTTTAGTACACAGTTTCCTCATATTTCCATGGCCCCTCTGCTTGAACACTTTTTCCCTCCTCTTTTGGCCAACTCTTTTATCCTCTCTGGGCCAACTCTTAATCCTCTTAAGCTTAATATCAGCTCCTTGGGAAGCTTTCCCCTAAGCAGCCTCCAGTCTAATTACTTCTTTAATAGCATGCAATATCATGCAATGCAATTATCTGTTTATCTTATCTGTCTCCTGCCCCTCCCCACATTGAAATTTTCTTTGACAGCAAAATTTAGTCATATGTACCTTCTAATCACCAATATTAGTATAGTTAGCAGATAGTAGGCTTTGACATTTTTGTTAAATAATGGGGAAAAAATATATAAATATATGAATCTAGCTACTTAAGAAATTTTATTCCTAAACTCCTTTGCAAATCAGTACAGTCACGCTTTAAATTCAGCATACTCTGTTATTTTAGAAAGATTTTCTCTCTCCTACATACACTACACCATTATCACCATCCATCCAATTTCAAGGAAATATCTTGGAAATAAAGAAATTCCAACCCATGATGCAATCTACTAGAAGTAAGTTTCTTGAGGGCAGGGGCTATTCTTGACTGTTCTATTTTCTGCATCTAGTTCAGAGCCTGGGACAGAGTAGGTGCCCACCAACAACATCTGTTAACCAATCAGTCATTTAGAAAATGGCACGGTGTGATAACAATATAATGCACAACTAATAGTCTCTTTCACACTACGTACCAAGAAAGACTAACCTACTACCTGAAGTAATTTTCGTTGACAAAACTCCCAACTACCTAGAAATATCAAATACTTACTAGACTAAGTGCGTAAACATCAAAAAATAATAATATATGCTGGCTGGTCTTCCTTTAAATTCATAAACACTAACCTCAAAACCGGGCCCTTGGTACTGCCTAGTGTTCCTACTTTTCCCTAGTCCATTTATTCTCCCCCTTTCCCACATCACTATTCCATACCTTCTCCTCCCTCAAATGTTCACTTCTTCCTCCTCCTCTCTCTCTCTCAGCTAATGACCTTGCTTTCTATTTCCTTCTATCTGCTTACTGTGAATCAGTGATTCTCAAGAGGAATTTTACTCAACAGTCCCACCCTGGGAGGGAGGAAATTTTGTAAATCTCTCCAAACTCTAAATGTTGAAATGCCCCAGGACTCAGTCCTTGAAACACTCCCTTGGAGATCTCTCACACGGTTTTAAATACCACTTATACATTTACACTCTCACAGTTTTATCTTCTGTCCAGACTTCTCTTTTGAACTGCCTGGCTTCACATATACCACTACATATGACATTTCCATTTAGAAATGTAACATATGCAAAACGGAAAACCATTTCAGATCTTCCTTCCTCCTCTCTCCTATCACTATCATTCTGTGGTCTTTTGTGTTTTGCTAAGTGGAAAAGTCCTTTTTTTTTCTTTTAAGAGACAGGGTCTCGGTGTCACCCAGGATGGACTACAGTGAAGGATCACGGGCCACTGTAACCTTGAGCTCAAGGTGGTCAAGTGATCCTTCCCTCCCATCTCAGCTTCCCAAGTAGCTAGACATGCCACTATGCCCAGTTAATTTTTTTTTTTTTTTTTTTGTAGAGACAGGGTCTCGTTATGTTGCCCAGGCTGGGGATTCTCTCAAAGATGGTATTACAAGCACGAGCCACCATGCCCGACCAAGTGCTATTCTTCAGCTGCTCAGTCTGTAACCCTTGCAGTCCACCTTGACCCTTCTTCTACCTAACTGCTCTCAAAGTAAATCTGGTCATTTCGCACTACCTCCACTATTACTACCCTGATTAATCACCTTGACCTTTAACCTGGATAAATGCAGTCAATATGGCCTACTAACAACTCTTATTTCTGCACCTGCTGCATACAGTCAACACAGCAATTAGACCTTTTAAAACACAAGTTAGATCAACTTACTCCTCACTCAAAACCCATCTCATTCAAAGTACAAATTAAAGTTCTTATAAATTCCTACATGGTCCTAAAAGACTTGGCCCCATTTCCATCTAAGTATCCACTACTTCTTTCCCTCTTGTTCATTATTTTCCAGTCAAACTAGCTAGTATGCACCTGCCTCAGGACTTCAGTGGTAGCTCTTTCCAAGTGGCAACCTTCTTTATCATCTATAGGCCTCCACGTTAATATCATCTTTTCTATGGCCACCACTTCCATCTCCTGGCTTTCCCTATACCCCTGCATTGCTTTGGTTTTTTTCTCTAGCACTTTCGGCCCCTTGACATATACAGTTGGCCCTCCCTACCCATGGGTTCTTCGTCCTTGTATTCAACCAATCACGGATGGAAAAATATTCAGGGAAAAAAAAAGTCAGTACTGAACATGTATAGACTCTTTCTTGTCATTATTCCCCAAACAATACACCATACCAACTATTTATATAGCATTTCAGTTGTCTTGGGTATTATAAATAATGCACAGTTGAACTAAAGATAGGAGGATGTGCATAGGTTATCTGCAAACACTACACCATTTTATATCAGGGACTTGAGCATTTGAGGACTTTGGTATCCAAGGGAGGTCCTGGAACCAATCTCCCAGAGATGCCGAGGGATAGGAAAGACTGTACCTTAATTTTTGTATCAATGTCTTCTCACGCCATCCCCAAAGTGGAATTTCATGATGGCAGGGATTTTTATTCTTTTGTTCACTATTTTGTTTACTGTTTTGTCCAGTGCCTAACACATAGGAGGTACTCAGTTTGGGGGAAATTAATGAAATAAACACACACTTGAGGTGTGTGCACTATTCTAAAAACTCATATCCATACAGTTCCATTCCGTCCACTTTTCCCCAATTTTAAGTAGCATATCTTTGAAGATCAAAGCACAGGCTTAAATCTGGTGTAAAATACCTTTCAACTACTACCCTCAGCCCAACATCCTTATTTTCAAATTCAAAATTCAACCAGAAACTCCCTCTATGGAAATCACAATAGTTCAGTTCAGAGCCAAGTATCCAGTTTCAAGGTCTCAGAAATCTTAACAAGCCAATTCTGGAAGGCTTTGGAAGTTCAGCTACTGCCTGATGGGTCTCCGGGTTCTGACTGCTCAAGACATGCTGTGCCTACTCACCCCTCAGAAAAATCTAGAACCAACAGTTTCCTAGGTTCCTCAAGTTCAGGATAACTGTAAAATAATCCAAAGTACAAATGAAATATGTAAAAGTGTCTTGCCAACAGAAAATGTCTTTGGTAGCACTAAATATAATTATTGAGACAAGGAATATCGTAAATAGATGAATTGTTTGGAGGACATACCCACCGAGTTTGGACAGACTCATACTGCACTGTGCAATAAAGGTTTAAATAACTGTGTTCCAGGAAAAATGCAGTTCCTGAACTGAACTCTAGAGCCTGTGACTAGACTCTCGCTTTCCTACCTTAGTAAGCAACAGACATGTACCCCAAGAGGGACCCCACAGGCCACACCCGCCAACCGGCCCCGGGGCTCCCGGGGCGGCGTCTCACCAACTCCACCTCTGCCCGGAGGAACCACCTTCACCCTCCATCGCCGCCGGGCGGGCGCTCCTCCAGACAGCTTCACCCCTCCTTCCTACCACACCTACCTGGCCCCTCCCCAGCCCTCCTCCTCTAGGAATTTCATCACACAAGGGGACACACACACGTACCCTACCCGAAGCGACGGCTCCTCCTTCCGGCTCCCCGCACTGGTGGTGACGCCTGGATTCCGGGCTCTGGCGGGGCGGCGGGGCAGGCTGCCCACCTAACACACTGTCCTGCGGGGACGCGGCAGCAGGACTCCAGGAAGCCCGCGCAGCCGCAAAAAGCACCGGCGCGGAGGTCGGAGCCAAACCCTGCTGCACTTCCGCCCTCTGGTATCCAGCATATAAAACCGGCAGCGCCGCGGAGCCCTGGAAGCGCCCCACAAGTCCAGTCACCCTCGGCGCCTGGAGATGACGTCACGAGACCCCACGTGGCCCGAACTCCGCCCTCCGTGTTCTGCCCAACCCCGCGAGGAGGCCCGAGTCGCTCCTGAGCATGCGCCAAAGGAGCAGGACACTTGAACTTGGGGCCAAACCCCTCCAAGTTCATAGCTTGTACCCTCTTGTGAGAGTCTAGCGTCAAAGCGTAGTTATTGGGGCTTGGGGAGGTTAATGTAACAGTTCCACAAGAACAGTTTTTAAAATACTGAAACACTGCCTCCCTAGAGCTTGATCGCAACATCCCTTTCTTCCTGGCATCACACAACAGTATTAGTAAAACATTAGTTTACAAAGCACTTTCCCATCCATTTTCTCATTTGATCTTATTCTCTACTTTGTTGGAACCACCGCAGGCGTTCATTAATAGCCTAATTTAACAGAAGACTATATGAGTACTGAACCCTCCCATCCATCCAAGAGTACATATCTTTATCCCACTGTTTGTAAAAATAATGAGTAAACTTACTAATAAAGAATGTTTGAATTGGCTCTATCCAGAAGTCTCACCAGGAATTTAAGGTTTTTCTCTTAATTACATATGCCTTAACGCCATGCATGTTAAGTAAGTACTGTGCTGAGACTCAAAACAGGTTCTTGATAATTGGGAAGATAAGGAAAATTCTAGTAGTAGCCACGGGATTCTTTTAAAAATAAAAATCTTCTTGGAGTTGGACTAAGTACAATGATTTTAAAATGGTAAATTACAGCCCATTAGTGGGTATCTAAATCAAGTTACAGAAGCATGCCCAGCATCTTTTTAAATGAAATAAAATAGAAAATGTCAGCATGCTTCACACATGTAAAGGGTAAATATTGTTTCCTGAAATTTTTACTTCAGTATGTATGTGTGTACACTGCATAGGAAGTGAAATACATTTCTTAGTAAGGGTAGCAGTCAGAAAAGTTTGAAAGCCACAGTTCTGGTCCTCTTCACCTACTCAGTGCAGAAATCCTCACTATAGTGTCCCCAGTAAACAGCCATTAGCCTGTGTAAGAAAGCTCGTGGGATTAAGGTGCATTGCCTTCCCAGTGTCAGACAAAAGTATATAAAATTTCTTTTAAAATGTATCAAAAAATAAGATGGATTTAGGGGCACATAGATGGATAAATACGTAATTAACCAAGTACAGTAAAATATAATGGTAGAATATAATGGTAAAATATAACGGTAGAATCTAGATGGTAGGATCTAGGTTCATTGTAAATGGATATTCACTGTAAAATTTGTTCAACTTTGCTGTGTGTTCAAAATTCTTTCCTGACAAAATGTTGGGACCAGGCATGGTGGCTCATGCCTATAATCCCAGCACTTTGGGAGGCCCAGGTAAGAGGATAGCTTGAGCCCAGGAGTTCAAGACCAGCCTGCACAGCATGGCGAGACTCCATCTCTACAAAAAACACAAAAATTAGGAGGGCATGGTGGCATGCGCCTATAGTCCCAGCTACTCCTGTGGTTGAGGAAGGAGGATTACATGAGCCCAGGAGGTCAAGGTTGCAGCGAGCTATAATTATATTACTGCAGCCTAGGAGACAGAGGGAGACCCCATCTCAAAAAAAAAAAAAAAAAAATGTGTTGGAGGGAAACTATGTATGAAGAAACCCAATAGGTGAACGGTGACTACTTGACTTAAAATTCAACTTCCTGTAATTTTTATAAATTAACCCTGTTTTCTTCCTTTCTCCCCTTGTCCTTCTCTCTTCCTCACCCATCTACAACATACAACAGAAATAACTAACCCTTCTTCTAAAAGACAGCATTTCAATATGAAAAGGTCCCCATAATGCACTCAGGGATAAACATTGTCATTTCTTTCAGCCAGTTTTCACATGCCATATCCATCCTCTGGATATGGTCCAGTTATCAGTGTTCCTATTAAATAGTTGTTACACTTTTCTATATGATGATTGTGCTTCTTGAGCAAAAATTTGGAAATAAAGGGAATTTTATGTTTGTTCTCTGTCATTTCCTTTGATGAACATTATGCCTTCTCTCCAAATCAGTGGCACTGCAAATTTTTAATTTTTTTCCTATGAAGATAACTTTTAAAGAGCTCTTTTTGGTTGGCCTTACCATTTCCTCCAAGCTTTAGCTTATTGGGGGTGACTTTCTGTTGGGAACAAGCCTCACAGAATCTGGCCATAAACTGGCCCCAAAACTGGCCATAAACAAAATCTCTGCAGCACTGTGACATGTTCATGATGGCCATAAAGCCCAGGCTGGAAGGTTGTGGGATTACCGGAATAAGGGCAAGGAACACCTGACCCGCCCAGGGTGGAAAACCGCTTAAAGGCATTCTTAAGCCACAAACAATAGCATGAGCAATCTGTGCCTTAAGGACATGCTCCTGCTGCAGTTAACTAGCCCAACCTATTCCTTTAATTCAGCCCATCCCTTCGTTTCCCATAAGGGATACTTTTAGTTAATTTACTGTCTGTAGAAACAATGCTAACGACTGGCTTGCTGTTAATAAATACATAGGTAAATCTCTGTTTGAGGCTCTCAGCTCTGAAGGCTATGAGACCCCTGATTTCCCACTTCACACTCTATATTTCTGTGTGTGTATCTTTAATTCCTCTAGCGCTGCTGGCTTAGGGTCTCCCCAATCGAACTGGTCTCAGCAGTCTCAGGCAGCTTTTGATTCGTGGAAACTTGCTTATAAAGTCTTCTTTTCTTTTTTTTTTTTTTTTTTTTTTTTTTGAGACGGGGTCTTGCTCTGTCGCCCAGGCTGGAGTGCTGTGGCCGGATCTCAGCTCACTGCAAGCTCCGCCTCCCGGGTTCCCGCCATTCTCCTGCCTCAGCCTCCCATGTAGCTGGGACTACAGGTGCCCGCCACCTCGCCCGGCTAGTTTTTTGTATTTTTTAGTAGAGACGGGGTTTCACCGTGTTAGCCAGGATGGTCTCGATCTCCTGACCTCGTGATCCCCCATCTCGGCCTCCCAAAGTGCTGGGATTACAGGCTTGAGCCACCGCGCCCGGCCTTAACGTCCTCTTTTCAACAAAAGTCTAATACACAAGTCCTCCCAAATTCTGGTTTCTAAGGAGAGACTCCAAAGAAGTCTTTGTTAATAAATTGCTCTCTTTTCTTTTCACTATAAGGTCTGGCTTTTATTTTTGCATGCCTCACAAATTCCAAGACTCAAAGCTGTGGGATGATAACTTTATTCTAAATGTATTTAAATCTACTTTCCTAAAATGTAAGTTATCTCGACTGCCTCCATGAACTCTAACCGTCACTGGTCATCATGCTATTACTTCCTGACCCAAGGTCCCATTCTGCTCTCTTTTATCTCTGTCCTGTGGGCTTCAGAGGAATGATTTAAGCCTAATTTAATTCTATTAATACTTCAGCTCTAACTCTTCTGACTGTGCTCCAACTAATTATCCCATCTCCCAGATTTCCCTTACTACTAGTTTCTTCCTTCATCCTATACATATGCTCAAATGTTCTCCCATCCTATTAAAACGCTGTCTTTAACCTTCATCACATGTGAACTGTTAGCATAGCTTCCCCCTGATCTCCCTGCCTCCAGTCCTGCTCTACCTGTCCCAGGGTCTAACCTGTGCATGTTATCTAAAATGCATTCTAACAATGTCACTCTTCTGTTTAACACCTTTTATTGATTCATTCTAGGCAAATTCCAAATTTCTTAGCATGATAAACAAGGTCCTTTATGGCTAATTTCTTCTTTCTTTCTAGCTTCCTTCCCCTGCTCTCCCTGCCTGGTGCTTCAAAATCCAACAGTATCCAATATTTTGTAAGACTTCTGTGCCCTAAGGCTATGCCATGCTTCTATGACTTTATTGCTGTTGTCCCTGCTGCCTGGAACACTACCCCCCAGCCCCAGCACCATCGCCACATTCTTTCTTCTTCACTTGGCACACACCACTCATTTTTAAGACTCAATTAATGTTTTGGAAAATACTTCCTGACTCATCCAGTTTGGGTTTGTTGGTCCTCATAGTTTCCTTGGTCATTTTTTGGTCACCAATGCCCAACATAATGCCTAGCATTTATCAAATGTTTGTCAAAGTAAACTAAGCTGAACATGTGCTTTCTTCTAGGATTCCCATCCGTTTCACCTCATAATCTAAATTGTTCCATATAGCTTAGAGTTTAGGTAGAAAGTGGTCGTTTTCTTTGTTACTTCTTCGATGTCTGAGGGAGAAAATCGGCAAGGCAAGTTGAAAGTAATTGAGATGCACTGCCATTAGCAGAGTGGGTCTCCAGCGTCACTAGCAGTTAAAGTTTTCCACCATCACTGCATCCTGTCTCAGTGTCAGTTTTAGGATCTGTATGGGGGAAGGCATCACTTCTTCCATCTGGCTGCACACTCTGCAGTGCATTCCCAGAACACAACCACACTTCTGTTACTTTACCCTTTTATCCTTACTCAAATGATACCTCTCCCCTGCTAGAATGGAGACTCCTACAAAGCTGGCATGAATTCCTATATAAAAAGGCTGCAAACTGGAGTTCCACATGCTGCAACTGGAGAACCTGTATGATTGCCGTAACATACATTAACCTACTTCAGCATATGAAATGTGATATTATGAATGTGCTAGTATATAAGCTTCAATTCTACTCACACAAACTGAGAATTCTAGGCTTCCATGATGGTAGGCAGCAACACATTAAAAAGACCACACTTCAGGAGCGCATATCACAAGGACGCCTATGATCACCATCTTGATCCACATCACATGGTTTGCTAATTAGCATAGTAAACATCAGAGATGGGTTTTTATTTTTGGCTTGCCCAAAAGTATGATAAATGTTAAAAATGGGATCTCATATATGCAATTAGCAAAATCTAAAATATATGGGATTTGGGCTGGGCACAGTGGCTCACGTCTGCAATCCCAGCACCTTGGGAGGCTGAGGTGGGCAGATCACTTGAGGTCAGGAGTTCCAGACCAGCCTGGCCAGCATGGTGAAACCCCGTCTGTACTAAAGATACAAAAAATTAGTGGGGTGT